CGACTCCAATTCGTAAAAAAGTGTCTCTAATTACCGCTTGAACCTTGTCCTTACTAATCGCTGGAACCGCGGCCAACATGCATAATCCGGTGCAACGACATTCCTCGCTCGGATTCCACAATCCTCGCCAAGTCCTCCTCTATCAAAATATACGATCCATTATCATACGTTCTAAAAGATAGCGATCGATGATTCAGGATCCACTTAAACGGACACGATTTTTCATCGCCAATTATCTAGAACGCATATTCCCAAATACGTTATGCATTAAATTTAAACTACTATTATAATTATGGAAATAATTAGATTTACGTTACTCGTTCATACTCGAATAAAGATTAATAATTAATCGTTTCAAAACCACGACCATGTATGCATTTTTAATAATTATAAAAAAAAAAGAAATCTAATAAACTTCGTCGCAAGACAGAAGTTTCTTCTTCGTCATCGAATACTCTCTTTCTAAAAAGGATATTTTGTCAAGGAGATTCAAAAATTATTATTCAAAAAGAAAGAAAAAAATATACAAATTCATATAAATTGACGCGATAGAACCAGGGCACGCCGATTAAAAACAAAAATCGCCGATCCAGACTCGGTCAGGGACAGGAGAGTTCATCGATACACAAATCGCGGTTATCGCTAGGAACTCAAACAGAAGTCGATGTTTGCATACTGGTAGGCTGCGGTGCATCACGAGAAGGAGAGGACCGTCGGCGGGGCACCTTTTAATGACGCGGTTCCCCGCTCGGCTGTGGAAAAGAAAAGTACGCTGATCCGTTCCGACCATTTTTCATCCGGGACCAGTCCCCGTCGTCTAGCAAGATTATTACAAAACTGCTTGGGGAAGAGGTCTAGGTTAAGCGCAAGAACAGGTACAGCGCAGCCGAGAAGCGTATAGAGTTGTGTCGGGATTTTATCCAACGTGTGGTTAATGTGCGCTTCTTCCTCTTCCTTCTTGTTCCTTTTTCTTTTTCTTTTCTTTTTTTTTTTTTTTCCTCCCCCTTTTTTTATTCTTTCTTCTTTTTCCATCACAGCGAGTCGGTTTTGCACGATCGGTCTGGTTTTACCGGAGAAATTGATTGAGAGAAGTAGATATACGCGACGAAGAAAGGCGAGTTGAAGGTGTTTCGCTTTGGTCGGTTGTATGTGGAGCAAGTTTTTGTTGGTGATGAAGTAGAAAAAGGTGGTGGATGATGAATCTTACGTGTGTACGTATATACACTTTGGTTACGACTTTTTATCGAGTTCACCGGTTTCATGCTCGTGTACATCCAATAATGATAAAAGTTTTTCGCGTTTTGTGGAAATTATTATGGTTTAACGAGGTAAGCATTGAAATCCATTAAGTAATTTTTATTTCATCGCAATGAAATAAAGATGTTACGATTAAATTGAACAAATAATTATTATAATAATTCGAAATCGTAAAATTCTAATTCAAATATCACATAGAAGATATGTATTTAACTATTCGTTAAACTGATCTCACGAGGTAAATTTTTCTATTAATACGTTTTTATAAAATATACATGCTGATGAAACATGCATACGCTGATCGCAGGTGCATCCAACGTTGCAGGCTATTCACTGAAGAGCAGAGCGTTGGCAATCGATCATTTTTGTTGCCCGTTGTCGGATGTCATCGAACGAATTAACAAATGTCGGTGGTGACACGACGTTGGTTTTCACGAATTACGTCGATTTACGTTTGCTACGAATTCATGTGTTATAACTCTTGTTACAAGAAGAAAGCTGAATAAGAAGAAAGCGTTGAATAAGATTGAGATCTTTAATAAAATTCATTTAATCGAAACACCAATGATTGAAATTAAGATTCAAAGAATCGTAGAATTTATCTTTTCAATTGAATGTGTGCATACGCGCGTGAAGGAATAAAGTGAAGATTGAGTCGAGGAACACGTCATCGTGACTTTTAGTTTAAGATCTTCTTGTCATTCGCGAGCTTCGACAGTTCCTCGGGTGTCTAAGAATTTCTACCCGACCAAACCCAACAAAATAATATCGATGAAATACTCCTCCCCTCCCCCAAAAAAAGAAAGAAAGCAAATAAATATTTCTCTCGAACTTAAAAATCCCTCGCCTCCGAAAAAGAAAAGGAAAATAATAATAACAACGAATAATAATAATAAAACGATTTCCCATAGAAATTACATCGAACTTATTTTTTTTTCTTTTCTTTCAAATCTTTGTCAATGAATTCCATTTCAAACTTGCAAGGCTACTAGAACACTATCAACCATAAAACGCAGCATGGCGACGCTTGGTTTAACGCTTTCGCGGTAAATGAAGCGGCCTCACAATCACAGTAAAGCTTCCCTATGCTCGTGCGATAGCTCGTTTCTCGTTTTACGGCCGTTAAACGGGCCACTGGCGAGTAGGAAAGGGAAAACAAGGGGGGAGGGGGAGGAGGAGGAGAGAGAGAGAGAGGAAAAAAAAAGAAAAAGAATGGAAAAGAACGAACACGGTCGTCGTTAATCATCGTTGATCTCGGTGGAGAGTCACGACTTGCATTAGGGACGGCCGACAATTTTCATCGTCGTCGCTCAAAATCGTGGCCGTCGATCGGAAAATCGCTCTTTACGAGCGGCTGTTATCGGAAATTTCTCGCTGGTAGAAGCCGCAAAGGCACGACAC